TCGCCCCCAACAATCTGGGTGCTCATTTTTACCCACCTCGGAAGGATGGAAGGCTGAGCCAACCTGAGCCGGTGAGATTTGAACAGCCGAACTGCAGAACTGCAGTCAGCTGAAGTAGCCTGCAGTGCTGCACTCTAACCACTGCGCCACCTCGGCTCATTGTACCCTTGGCGACTTGGCTAAATTTATAGCTGTTTCCAGTGACTTGTGGCTGCATTGTACAAACCAGTGTTTCTCAACCTTGGGGACTTTAAGTCCTGTGGACCTCAACTCCCAGAATCCCCCAGCCAGCTGGCTGGGGGATTCTGGGAGTTGAAGTCCAGAGGACTTAAAGTCCCCAAGGTTGAGAAACACTGGTACAAACCATTGGTTTGTTTAACAACCGCCGAGTTTGTTTTACAGCCGCTACAAAAACAGTTGTATGTCGAAGACTGCCTACACGACACAATATTTCCAAACCTTTACCCAGGTTTGTAGCAAAGACACACTTGTGATTTTACACTTCAGTGTAACAAACGCAACCTCCGTCGCATTTAGCGGTGCCACGAGGAAGTTCTGCGTTTGATCAGTTACTATCACAACGTAACTTCCCGGGAGTGTTGTCGAAAGTCTAGATTGCGTGACAATCCTTTCGAAGAGAAGTACAGATGGTCCTCGACTTAACAACAACATTTCGTTTAGCGACCGCTCAGAGTTACTACTTACTGGGGGAAAAAAGCAACGCAGTCATTTTTCAAACCGACGCCGGTTCCAACATCCCCTTATTCACGGGGTCATAAATCAAGACGCTTGGCAATTTGACTCGTATTTATGGCGGTTGCATGATTCCCCCGGGGTCACGTGATTCCCCGCCGACAAGAAAAGTCAACGGGGAAGACCGATTCACTTAGCAACGGCGTTACTCACTTATCAACTGCAGTGATTCACTTAGCAATGGCGGCAATCAAGGTGGTAAAATGGGACAAAGCTCACTGAATAAATGTTCTGCTTAGCGACATAAATTTTTGGGCTCGGCTGCGGTCATAAGTCGAGGACCCCCTGTATATGCTGGCTGGGGAATGCTGGGAGTCGACCTCCCCACATCTTTAAAAGGGTTGAGAAACGTTTTACAGCAAATGGGTCGGTGGGTGTACAAAATCTCAAGATATAATGGCTGCAACCATGAGCTCAGAGACTGCCCTTTTTTGGGGTGGGGGGGGCTGCACTGTGTTGAGTTAGATTGCTCCGACCAGAGTGGTAGAGACACAGCCAGCTGGGAAGGGGAGACCCCCCCCTCCCCAAATGGCTGAGAAAGGCCAGCTTCCTCCTCTCCTCCCACAGCGAGGACTGCCGGTGCTGGAACGGTTGTTTATGAAACAATGGGAGAGGCCCCCATCTTGAGAAGTCCCACGGCGGCCTTTATTTGTGACTTCCTGTTTGGAGGGATGGGACGGGACGGAGGGGCCTTGTGAAAACTTTCAGAGGAGGGGGCTGAGTTGCATCGCCGGGGCTTTATTGCAAGATGTAGTGTACACACGCACAGACGCACACAGTCATCCTGTTTTGTTTCTTCTCCGATTTGGGGGGCTGGGGGGGAGGGCTCCAATGTCCATTTGGGGGTCTTCCACAGCCCTGAGTATTATCCGGGCCTTTGTAGGGAAGTTTGATCTTGATGGCGACGGCGACGGCAGCTTCTCTGCCCCCTCCCCTCGCCCAGGAATGCTTGCCGAGCCGGGCTCCTCTCTTGGCTGGGAAAAAAGGAAGCCTTGTCTTGAAGTTGCTGACCTCAGCTGCGAACCATTCCCCCTTCTGCCCTCCCCAAGCGGGCTGCCCAGGGAGAACATGGCACAAAGGCGCTGCTCCCTCCGTCCGTCCGCCTGTCCGTCCGTCCCCCACTTCTAAACACGCCCGATGCTTATCCCGCCTGTAATGGGGGCCCGACTCTTGCCTGGGGCCGGGTGTTTTCAAGACCTTCTCCTTCACCCCTTCCGCTGCCAATTCCACCACCATCCCGGCGCCCTCCAGCACCCTTTGGCTGCCCCGAGAGGTTGGATGTGCAAAGTTGGGCACCAAGTTCTGGGCATCGGGGCGGCTGGGGGCAGGCTGGGATGCTGCTGCCCCCCCCCCGTCCTCCAGGGAGGGAGGCTACCCTTAAAGCTGGCTGCTCTTCGCCCTCCCACGCTCGGAGGGCTCAGCCTGGAAGTCCGTGAGGCGGCTTGGCTGCCCTCCCAGCCTCCTGGCGGCAGAAGGCGGCGACAGTGGCGGCGGCAGCAGCAGCTGGTTTCCTGTTTTCCCTCCCCTGGCACACTGGGGAGAGGGGGGGTGGCTAAAATCCACATGCCGCCACAGCAGCCATTGCATCCTGGTGGGGGTGGGGGGTGGCTTTGAGCCACCCAGAGCTTCTGCCAACATGCCCTGATGAGATGCAGCCAGAGGACCGGAGTATGGGAATTTCCAGCACTTTGCTTCCAAACTCTCTTATGCTGAGAGGGGGCGAATGGGGGCGGTGTGTGTGTGTGTATTTCTTGGCTATCCTATCCTGGAAATGCGCCTCTGCCTTCCCAGACTGAGCTGGCTTAACTTCTACCTTTCTCCTTGCCAGGGTTCGCCTTCCCGGATTGGGCCTACAAGCCCGAATCGAGTCCCGGCTCCCGTCAGATCCAACTCTGGCATTTCATCCTGGAGCTGCTGCGCAAGGAGGAATACCATGACGTCATCGCCTGGCAAGGGGATTACGGCGAGTTTGTCATCAAGGACCCCGACGAAGTGGCCCGGTTGTGGGGGGTGAGGAAATGCAAGCCTCAGATGAACTACGACAAGCTGAGCCGGGCCTTGAGGTGAGCCCGGGACCGAGAAAGGTGGTGGAGAAATTCCAGGAACTTGGGAATGCCACGGGGTGGGTGGGTTATCTCGCACCTGGGGATGGGTAGCCCCCCGCGGGAACGGTGGGAAAGGAAAGCTGGAAAATTCAGCCAGTGGGACTTTTCTCCAGCTTTTTAACAGAGGTTTAGAAACATGTAGGTACATGTGTGCGCGCACTCAGGAATTCACAGATGCACACGTGTCAATCTGCCCAGCCCTTCTCTCGCAAAGTATGGAAAACTTTGCAACTCCTCGTTTTGCGGTGCTCCGATGAAAAACAAATTGGGGACGTGGGGTTTTTTTTGTTTGTTTGTTTCGCAAGTGCGAAACTTTTAGCAGTGAAGAATCTAGAATTTTTAAGAGCTGTTTTATTATCCCATTCGTTCCCAAGCAGCTGTGAGAGCATTATCGCTATCTGAAATAAGGTGATTATGATTCATCTCTTCTCCCCACCCCCTTTTTTTTTTAAACGGGGCTTTTCAAACGAGATAGATGAGAAATCGAGCTAAATCAGTGTTCAATGCAAGATTTGGTAGGAGTTTGCTTTCCGTTCAAGGGCTAATTCAATCGAGACCCACTTTTTAGTTTGTTGGGTTGCTGGTTTAATTCGTGACCTGACAAAACTGCGCTCGTCAAAATAGCGGCGATAAAACCGCGTCGCTAAAGCCACGACATCAACACCGCGATGTCATCAGCACGGCGACAACAGCGCGGCGACAGAAGGGCTCTTTAAAACAGCGCGGCGGCAGAAAGCCGATTTAAATTAAGGTAAGGGTTAGGATTAGGTTTAGGGGTTTGGTTTAATGGCTCTTTAAAA